CATTGAATAATTAAAAATAAAAATATTAGTACTTAAAATTTCATATTTATCTTCAAATAAATTGGGTTTTCCTAACCTCTGTTTAGGTACAATAAATATGCATTTTTTGGCCATAAAATCGTATGAAAAATATAAAAAATTGATATTTATTTTAGTATTAATATTATGATAAATTAAATTTAGCTTTTATTTTTTATATAAATTTACGGTTGAAAAGGTAAATTTTAGTGCACCATTAAAGCAAATATTAGAAAAAAAATTAAAAAAAAAAAACTTGCTCGTATAATTAAGTTCATTAAAGTGGAGTTAAATGATAGGAATATATATCAAATAAAAGTGTGATTTTTCCAGTGTGAATGCAATGAATGCACTTTTTATAATTAATATAAAAAATGTAAATGTTAATTTTAATTTAATAAATTAACTAATTAAAATTATTCATTTGTTAATAGTGTTAAAATAAAATATAATTTTTATAAAATTTAATATAAATTAATTATAAAAAATATATTTATTGAACATTTAGAATAAAAGTTAAATAAACCTATAGAAATATCTAATGTCATATAGAAAATAAAAAATACTAATAGTAAGTTGAAAATAGAACGAGGAAATAAAACAACCGAACGTTGGACAACTAAATAAAATTGGAGTAATACCAAGCGCGTTTCAATAGTTGGTTTTGACCGGAGAAGACCTCAATGGTTTGCCTACCTGCCTGGCAGAACTGGGAGGTTATCTCGTGAACAATAATTCGCTGCCACGTTTAAACGGGTTCGTGACTGCGACCTTTTTGCTTTTTCAATACCCCATCCATCTGTCCTTTTTTTTAATTTTTTTTAATATATTACAATTATTTATGTGTTAACTACGAGATAAAAAGACAGAGTTTCCATGAAATTTTAATGTGTAATATATTAAAGGTGAACAATTCTAACTCAGAGTTCAATGTCATTAGATCAAAATGAGCCGTTCAATTATTATTATACATATATGAGTTAATAATGTGATTAGAATACATTATATTTAGTTTAACTTTAAAAATAACTATTAATTGATATATAATAAAATTATTAATATTTTTATTCAACAATTTGAAATCAAATTACTAATTGATATTTTCAACAACTTAATTAACTATTTGAGGGAAAAGAGCTATGCGTTGGGGAAAAAATCCAAACTAACCACAGCACTGCTATGCTTTATTTACTTCTTCTTCTCAAATTATCTATCACTAGAATTATTTTTTTGTCTCAAAATAAATGTTATTATAACTAAATTAATTATCATATTTCTAATTTGCCCTTATTTATTATTCTTTTCTCCATTGATTAACACTAATGAAAAAGTTCTTATTCAATAGTTAATCCTCTGTTTACAATAAAACTTTGTCTAACATATGCTTTAAGAAATTATGTTGATGATGTATAAACTATATTTTTTATAATTAATATTTATAAAAATATACAAAACTTTAATTTATTCTATTACTAACACTACATAAATAATTTTCATTAAATACTTAATAAAATTAAAATTAATTTTTAATATTTTAATCTAAATTTATTATAAAAAAATATAATTATTACACTTTTTAGTTACACAACTTGCAAAAAAAACCCCTGGAAGAAACCTGTTAAATGTTTGTGGTTGGAGGCAAGCCTTAAAGTCAACATTTATCGTTATGAGCGGGTTTGCCTTTCCAGTGGCTTGCGGTGCTTGCCTCTGACCGCAAACATGAATGTCAACAATTTTTTTTTTTTTTGATGCACTGAATGTCAACAATTTTTTTTTTTATGCACTGAATGTCAACATTTTTTTTTTTTTTGTTGATGCACTGAATGTCAACATTTATTGTTATGGAAAAATAACCAAATAACTTAATATTTAACTTCAAAAATAACATTTAGGGTATAAAGAAAAAAGTCTAACGGCTTAAAAATAACATTTAAAGTATAAATATAAATAAATGTTCCCTTTACTTTAATTAATTAATTAATTAAAATAAAGTTTTTTTAATTTATAATCTTAGAGGTGCATTAATTGTATATATTTATTATTAATTGTTATAAAAAAGAGTTAACTTCAATGTCCCTAAAAATATAGGTTAAGAGTGGGTTTAAATATCATTTTGGTCCCTCAACTTTTTATTTTGACATCAAAACTGTTCCTCAACTTTAAAAAGTACCAAAATTATCCTTAAATTTTCATTTTTATACTGAAATGGTTCCGTCAGTTAAATAGGTAGGTGACAGTTAATTTACCAGCAAATTAATTCTTTTGTTTTTAACTAATGACATGGAAAAAAAAAAACATGGTTGGCCAAATGAGTTGGTATTTTTATTTAATTTAAAAATAATGACATTTTTTTTCCATCCACATCATAAAAAAGGATCGCTTCTTCCTCTCACCTTTCCTTGTCCCTTACCTCTATGAACCCTAAAACTTAAAGCTTAGCATCTCTATCAACCTTCCTCTTTCCTTTCCCTGCTCATCCTTCTTCTTTCTTCTTCTTATTCTTTCTCTCTCTCTCTCTTCTCCCTTCTTCTTCCTCTCCAAATCTGGGTTTTTCTCATACAAATTGGACTTTGTAAATCTCTCACTTCTCAAGTAAAGTGGGCTCACCTTTACTCTTACCAATCACTTCTTTGCCTCAAGTTCACTCCACTTCTCAAAAGGAATCTAAGATGTAGTTCCTCTTTTAGAGAAGAAAATATCTATGCAAAATTGGAGAATGCTGACTTGCATAGCTCGTTCTAAAGGAAGCCGATGATGACTCCCTCGATCCGCCGGAGGAATTGAGTTCTTCCACTACACTGAGACCAAAAAATCAAGCCATCAAATCTCTCTCTTCTCCCTTCTTCTTCCACTCCCTCGGTAATTTTCATTCCCTCGGTAGATCTGCAAATTGCTTCAAATCTACGCCAAACTCTGGCCATCCATGGCTCCCCTTCGACTACTTCCTCTGTTTCTTTCCCTTTTTGTTTCTCTCTTCCTTGCCGAGATCCAATTCTCAAAGATCCACTTCGACAACCTCCCCATAATCCCTTTTGATAAGTTTGGATTCACCCACACCGGACATCTTGAGCTCAACGTCTCCAACATCGACCTCTCGAATCAAAAACCTCGATTTTTCCAAGGTCGGGTTCTTTTTCTGCACCAACGATGCGTGGTTGCACATGCTCCAAAAACTCGAAGACAAGGATATCTCATACGCTCTCTGATCCGATCTCGTCAAGCCAATGTTTACCTTCAACCCACTCAACGGTAAAAAGAGTTTTCATAAATTGTATTAAGAAAATGATGTTGATCAGTACACCCTTGTGTTTGCTAACTACCTCAGTGAGGTCAAAGTATCAATGACCATCCAATCGGTGATGTTCAATCTTGATGGATTTGAGAAAAACCCAGATTTGGAGAGGAAGAAGAAGGGATAAGAGAGAGAGAGAAAGAATAAGAAGAAGAAAGAAGAAGATGAGTAGGGAAAGGAAGGAGGAAGGAAGGAGGAAGGTTGTTAGAGATGCTAAGCTTCAAGTTTTAGGGTTTGCAGAGGTAAAGGAAAAGGTAAGGGAAAAGGAAAGGTAAAGGAGAGAGAGTGAAAGAGGAAGAAGACATTTTTTAACTGATGTGGATGGAAAAAAAAATGTCATTATTTCTAAATTATATATAAATGCCAACACATAAAAAAAGAATGTCGACCATGCTTTTTTTTCCATGTCATTAGTTAAAACAAAAAAATTGATTTGTTGGCAAATTAATGTGCCACTTATCCATTTAACTGACGAAAGGACTATTTTGGTATTGAAAATGAAAGTTTAAGGATAATTTTAGTATTTTTTAAAGTTGAGGAACAATTTTGGTGCCAAAGTTAAAAACTGAGGGACCAAAATGGTATTTAAACCGTTAAGAGTGCAGATTAAGAATATATTTATTAAAATTATTTTATGATAAATTTTTTAAGAAAAATATAAAAATGAATATTATTTTTAACATAAGTACTATGTTGATAATTTTAATTACATAATTAATAAATTTATAATAAACTTTGATTTTTTAGAAATATCTAGAAATAAAAGTTAACTATAACTTTATTAATCGTTAAATTAAAATCATTTATATGTCATTGATGTTAAAAATAAAATTAGTATTTTCATTTTTAGAAAAGTAAAAATTAAGATGTTTTGACATTTAAACTATCAAGATATCTAATTCTAACCACATAATAGATGAGATTCAAATGAAACTTGTGTTATATCTCATCTATCATGTGACTATGATATGACATATTGGCATTTAACAATTAAAATATCCAAACATCTTGACTTTTTGCGTCTTTTTTTATTTTATTTATACAAATTAGTAAATAAAATATTTAATTAATATACTCTTAACATATGTTTTTCTTTAGACAAACTCTTAAGATAATACATGTAGTATTGATATTAAAATTAACAATCAATTTTTTTATTTGTCATACGACTTAAAGGCTAAAATATATATTAATTTATACCCTAGGCACATGTTAAAAAATTTTAAATTTTATTTATTCAACCTAGAAAAATTAAATATTTAATGGTAAAAGAGGAAAAAGTATCATACTCTATTCTTGTAACAATTTATCAATCATACGTGCCTTTAAGATGAAAAGTAATTATTAAATAATAATAATAATAATTTTTTTATCTTAACAAAGATAATGTTAATTTTTCTTTTAATTGTAAAAGTCACCGTGTTAGATTTTTATTGTTTTTTAAATCAAATTTTCACATTTTTTTTAAAGTTACAATTATTACTTAAATGGTTCCTTATCATGTCCCCTCGAACAAAACCTTTACTGTAAAACGCAATAGAAGTGCATAAATTTAATGCTATATTGATTTAATAAAGGGGGGCAATAAGGGAAAGTTGGCTATACAAAATTTTGTTTTATTAACCTTTGATATTCGATAATTGCATTGAACCTGATTAATTTAGAATCAAATCGCGTCGGATCTTATTAGAAAAGAACCTTTTCCAGTTTTTATTTTTTTATTTACAAGACTCGAACTTGATATCTTATTTAAAAAGAACCGAACTTCTTCTACTCGGATTAATAGCTCATTGCAATATACAAAAGTAATTTTTAACTATGAACAATTTCGGCTCTCATTACTAGTATTATGATTTTGAGTTTTTATAAATTTTACAATAAATGAAAATTAAAATTAAAAGTTAAAAATTAAAAATTTGTTTAAAATAAATTTTAACAATAACAATTAAAAATATTTATTTATATAATAGTATTAAAAGTATTTTTATTTTTATTTTTTAATATTATAATAATATATTATAAAAATAAGTGAAAGTAAACAAAATTTTTATTTAAAATTAAAAAATTTATAAAATTTAAAATCACAATCATAGCGCAATTTTCTTTCCTGTCTTCTACTCTTCCTCATGCTTCTGTGACTCCATAGCTTAACTCGTCTTCTTCGCCCTTCTATTTCCTCGTCACAGAGGCTGTTTCTTTTTAGCGCTGAAGAAACAGCCAGTGCTGTTTGTTCTTTTTGTCCGTAATTTCCTTAGTTCTACTTATAATTTTTAACATGCATCGCATATTCTCCAATCCCTTCTTAATTATTCTCTTTGCAAAATCATGTTTGATAATTGGTGAAAACGGAAACGATAATTTCAGTAACTGAATCAAAAAATCAAATGAGTATTAGTATTGGTTTTGGTGGTAAAGAATGAAAGTAAAAAAATTTAAGTTTCACATGGTATTGTTATGGTTTTTATAAAATTTTCAACTCAAAACACGAGACTCGATCATTTAGTTTTATAAGTTTTAATAAGACCAAATTTTTAAATTCATCTTAAATATGAGGTAAAAATAAATTCATTTTCAGATTAAATAAAGGAATAAATTATTTATTATCTAATTAGGTTGAATATATGAGTCTAAATTTATCATCTACTATCATATGACATCAGTTTTCGATTAATTTTTTACTTACTTGACCTTTTTACATTTTATTGGTAGTTATGAGAATCTAATGTCATGATTTTAACAGATAAATTTGTAATAATTTATCCAATTTAATTAGTTGATAAAACAATTTATTCTTGCATTTAGTTTAAGGGTGAAATTTGTCCATGTTGCCATACTTAGGAGCAGATTTAGGGTTTTAGTTTGTTTTACAACAAATTATCATGATTATTAAAAAATAAAAATAAAATAAAATAATTTTAATACTACTAAATAAGTTTATATATTTTATTACCAAATTAACATTTGTCTTGAATAAATTAATACTATAATTTTTTTTTATTTTTCATTTATTCCAAAATTTATAAAATCAAAACTAAAAATTAAAGACAGCAAACTGTACTGAAAATATCTTAATTAGATAAAAACAGATACCTGCCCTGCCCCAGTGGAAGTTGGTCATCCTCGCTGAAGTCATTCTCGCGGAAATTTGAACCCTTCTCTGTTATATGAACCCACACAACACGCAACCGACTTCAATGATCTTTGATTTTGACACAAAATCGGTTTGCTTGGATTTTCTTCTTCTTCTTCTTTTTTTTTTAACAACGAAGGAAATTTTGACCCAAACTTTTTGCCGACAATAGTTTAATTAATTAATATCGATCTACTCCAAAGACGCTAGATAATTTAGGTTTTGGTTAGTATAATTTGAGTTTTAAATTTTGAATTTTCTCATTTTAGTAACTATTATTATATTTAAAAATTAAAATTTATTATAAAAATTTTAATTTATTAAATTTAATTTAAATATAGTGCTAGTTTTAAATGTATAAAAAATAAAAAAAATTCAAAGTCAAAATTATACAATACAGAGTCCTAATTATGGCAACGAAAATGATATAGTTATTAAAACTCTTCATATTTAATTCAAACTAATGGATTTGATTAAAATTGATCTAATCTATTAAAATTTAATTGAAATTGATATTTACTTGAATTGGTTTAAGTTATAAAATTTCAAAATGATATAATTAGTTTGATTTATAATTTCATTTTCAAATCAATCGAATTGTCTAATTATAAAATAATTTAATTAAATAACATAATATTTTTATTGTTTAAATTCTTTTAGTAAAAATATTTTTTGACTTTTTTGATAAAATAAAAATATAATTAACAAATTATATGCAAATTATATTTTGTATAAAAAAATTGTAAAGGCCACACAAATTTTATATAGTTTGATTGATATTTTATTAATTTTTAATTTTTTTAAATAATTGATTATAAAGTCTAAAAATCTCAATTTATAAATTGATATTAATCTATTAAATAATAAATAATTATTATTTTACCAATCATAAATTATATTTAACAACTAAACTACAAAAAATAAATATTTTTTAAATAATATTATATAACATTAACAAATTAATATGTAACCATAATCACACTCCCTCTTTATATACAGTTTTACGTAAACACAAATTTATACTTATATTTTAATCCTAAAATCAATACTTTATTCCCTGAAGCAATTTTAATACAAATATTCAACGCTTTCCAGTTGATTGATATGAATTAATTATATTATTTGAGCAAACTTTTGGGTCAAAATCGAAGAGCATGTAATGTAAGGACTGAAGATGGTTGGGTTATAGGCTGGTCAAAGTGCCTCATAGGGCAATGTCATATCTATAAAAAAAATGAAGAATATATTCAAAAATTACTTTTTTTTAATAAATATGATTAAAAATAATTAAAATAATATATTTTTAAGATACAATAAATATTATTTTAGTTTTTTAATACATTATTAAAATAAAATATTAGTACATATTAGTTCAAATTTAAAAAAAAATTAGAATTTCAACTTTAAATTATATTGTTTTATTTAATTAAAATTTAATTTCAAATTTAAAAAATGATTTTATTACATATTGAGATCCAGTTTTGAAAACTGATTATATTACAATGTATAATTGGTTTTTGAAGTTAAGTATCAATAGTTAATAGAGTGAATGTTTGAATTTTGAATTGACATTTTAATTTCTAAATATAAATTAATTTTTTTTAATTTGAATTGATAAGCACTAATCTCTTAACATAAAATAGTTTTATGGTATTTTTTTACTTAAATATTTTGTAATCCAGGCAGAAAAATATTCTTTTATTTATATTATTTATAAAATTATTTACAATACCCGTTTAAGAAAATCTCCAAATTGTAATTCCCTTCAAATCATCTTACGCAATTCATTCTTCGTCGAGCCTTTCTTCGGCTTTGCAAATTTGGCTGGTTCTTCCTTAAAAATGGTAGCATGCTTTCGATTCTTCAGAGCTCATTATGTATGTTTCTTTTCTTTACTTTTGTTTGTCTTTAATTAGGACTAGGAAATCCCAAAAGTTTATCAATTTGATTCCGTCCTCCAAATTTTAAATTTGCATTTGTTTTGCTAAATTTATCTTAACATCTTCTTGTAATTGTAGTATTTGTTTGTTGATTCAAATCGTGGCAAAGCTAAGATTTAACATGAGGGGATGCCAAATTTTTATGAATACTCAATTAAATTTAAATTCAAAATATTTACTCAATATTTAAGTGTTGAAAAGGTAAGAATGATTGTAAACTTAGTTATAGTCAATGTAAAATATATTATTTCTTGAAAATTTTATAATTAGTATATATATAAGAAGAATTCACTTAGACATTAATTTTATATATTATATTTATATAAAATTTTAATTATTTATCTTTTTAATTTCAATAATTGAGATTTATCATGATTTTTTAAATAAAAATATAATTATTTTTAATAAATATGATAAAAAAAATGAATAAATCTTAACTATTAAAAGTAAAGAGATAAATTATTAAAATTTTATAAAAGTGTAGTGTATAAAATTTATGTGTAAGTGGATCTTAATTCATATAAAAATATTTATCAATAAAAAAATAACTTTATCATATAAGATAACTTAGGTGTGTAAAATAACTTGCATGTGACTTTCATACAAGTTTTATGCATCATATTTATATAAAATTTTGATTATTGATCTATGTACTTTTAATATTTAAGATTTATTTATTTTTTTATCATCTTTATTAAAATAATTATTTTTTTATCTTAAAATTCATAAAAATCTCAACTATTAAAATTAAAAAGGAAAGTAATAGAGATATATATATATATATATATATTTATATATCAACTCTCCATCCATTTATTTGGCCACCCTGATACCTACTATTCAAAATTTAAAGATTTCTCATTCCAATGCAAGACCCCTTAGGCGGTAGACTATAATTCCGCCGTCTAAAACCAGAAAACTTCTTTTCTTTCTTTGTCCTACAATACAATATTATTGACTTGAAAAGATCAAAATTAGTTACGAATAATCAAAATAACAAAACATATTTAAACATATCATGCAACGTGTGAATGCCAATTGCCTCCATTGGTAAGTTGATAGGTGTATTATAGTCAAACCCAAGAATGGAAATGTGAAGATCGATAAAATCAATGGCAGACGGCGGTCATAATGCCAATGGCTGAATATAACGGGAACCTCTCAAAAATTCTATATTATGATCAGAAAAAGCTGCAACTGCTCCTATATAAATCAATCAACCAAGGCCCTCTTCATCCCTCCCCATCCTTCCTTCTTTGCTCTGGCCACTATTTCTTGTAGGTATGGAGCTAGAGCTACCCACGAATGCCCAGAAAACTATCTCAAACGTCGATAACCAAGTTTATATTAGGAAAACAGACTCATTAACTACAGATACTACTCGCAACTCCGACGATCTTAGACATGGTTCTGAATCATTCAGGATTCTGGAGATGGGTGTGCCGAAGAGCAGTTCAGCTGAGAAAAAACTGTCTTGGTTGAGGTCTCAAATAATCGGCAGAGATGCTGAGTTCAACTCTCCTTTTGGGAAACGAAGAGTTACCTACGCCGATCATACTGCCTCCGGTCGGTGTCTTCATTATATTGAAAATTTCATCATCAACAACGTTCTTCCATTTTATGGTAAGTTTATAACGTGCTAATATTGTTTCTTACGTTAGTATAAATTATTACGGTTTTGTTTAATCTATTTTGGTGTAGGTAATACACACACAGGCGATAGTTATGTGGGTCGCAAGACGACAACAATGGTGCATGAAGCAACCGGTTACATCAAGAGATGCTTGGGCGGTGGCGATGAGGATGCAATTCTGTTTTGCGGCTCAGGCAGTACTGCAGCCATCAAAAGGCTGCAAGAAGTTATGGGCATTGCTGTGCCATCGATTCTTAGAGAGAGGATATTGAATGGCCTGGCCACGGAGAAGAGATGGTTAGTCTTTGTCGGTCCATACGAGCATCACTCAAATCTCCTCTCCTGGAGGCAGAGCCTGGCAGAAGTGGTGGAGATCGGTTTGGACGCGAATGGTAAGATAGACATTGAATCTTTGCGCCGGCGGCTGGAGTCATATAAATATGCCAACAGGCCTATTCTGGGTTCTTTCTCAGCTTGTAGCAACGTCACCGGAGTGTACTCTGATACCCGAGCAATTGCTAAACTTCTTCATCAGTATGGAGGATTTGTATGTTTCGATTTCGCAGCTAGGTAATCTATCTTTTCTTATTGGAGACTTGTAGTAGTATTCTGGTCAGTTTTTGACAGGCTTTCTGTTGAGCAGTGGTCCTTATGTGAAGATCAACATGCGATCTGGAGAGATTGAAGGCTATGATGCAATCTTCCTCAGCCCACATAAGTTCATTGGAGGACCTGGATCACCGGGGATTCTTCTGATGAGCAAGGCTCTCTATCGGTTGGGATCTTCTCCTCCCTCAACCTGTGGAGGTGGAACCGTCAACTATGTCAATGGCTTCAATGAAAAGGTAACCCTTCCCTGTTTCCATACTTTCGTGCTATACAAAACTACAATTTGTATTGAAAGATTGATTTCTTATATCATCAATTTCAGGACACATTATATTACGATGACATAGAAGAAAGAGAAAATAGTGGGACTCCTCAAATTATCCAGATGATTAGGGCATCACTGGCCTTTTGGGTGAAGGAATACGTTGGTTACAAAGTGATTGAAGACAAGGAAAACTTCTATATAAAAATTGCACTTGAGAGGCTGCTTCCAAATCAAAACATAAGGGTTTTAGGGAACACAAGTGCAAATCGACAAGCTATATTATCCTTCATCATCTACTCTACAACAAATTCTTCTTCGCCTGCTCCTTTGAACAAAGATTGGAAACATTTTGATGACTTAGAGAGGAAGGAGAAAAGCCTTTTCATGTGGGGGGAGACAGGGAACAAGAAAGATAAGCCTCTCCATGGACCTTTTGTTTCAACCCTCCTCAATGACCTGTTTGGAATCCAAGCTCGAGGAGGGTGTGCCTGTGCTGGACCTTATGGTCACAGCTTGCTTGATGTTGATGAGACTCAATCACTTGCTCTCAGAGAGACAATTCTAAAGGTTGTTTTTCCTATTCGTGCTGTGAATTTTTTCAAGTCAATTGACTTTATTACGTTTATATGATCTCTAATTAACATTGCCTACTGCAGGGCTATACCGGAGTTAAACCGGGATGGACAAGAATTAGTTTCCCCTACTATATGTCCAATGAAGAGTTTGAATTCATTCTTGCTGCATTAGAGTTTTTATCCATCCATGGTCAGAGATTTCTACCCTTTTATGACTTCAACCTAAGAACTGGCAATTGGACTTTCAAGAAAAAGGTGTTAAAGAACATGGTAGGAAAAGAAAACAACACTTTGGTTAGTGCTTTTCAAGCAATATGCAATGATCGTGCCCAATCAAACAAATGCAAAGACGCTGGCGAAGAAGAGGACTACTGTATGATAGCTAAGTATGCATCTTACTTGGATGGCGCGAAACAGATTGCTGCTCTCCTTCCTAAGTTTCCCCCTCAACGCAGGCTCAAGGAATCCATAGATCTTAACGTCCTGCCTTTCAGGGTTTAACTTCCATTTGACAACTTCTAATTTCCTGAGCGAGTTGTATGTACTATATACAGATATGTTCTTTTCCCAGCTTTCGTTCACAAATAAATTTCAGTGAAGTAGCTGATGCAATTGCCTACAAGAGAAGGGCAGATATTTCATCAATCACACGCGAATCACACTTCCCATAAATGGAAAGTAAATAAGCCATAAAATTATTGAGCATTATGGGCAAGAAACGTATTAAGTAGCGTTAAATACAGACAAAAAGATTAGAGATATTAAGAGGGTAAATGACTGATAAATGACAAAACCAATTGAGAAATTTACAGTTGAAAACAAATTTATTCAATTTAAAAATTCTCTAAGATAGCATAACTTCCTACCACGTCAATGATATATATGTATATATATATATATAGAAAATCTGAATAAACGCTATCATATGCATTTTCAAAATAGATTTTGAAAAAGAAAATACTCCTTTTATTCATTTTTATCTCATCTATTACTTCCACCAACTGCCTGCCTCTAATAAAAGCCATTTGTTGCAGTCTGTCCAACAACAAATGTATTTGTTTAGTAATAAAAAGTTAGGGAAAGGCTGGGATTTGGTCTCTGGCTGGCGTGGGATGAGGTGTACAAGCACAAAGCACGGATGAGGGACAGATATTTGAACTCATCCAGATCCGGTTGAGATCTTTTCACTGGACCAAGGCAAAGGAAAAGGACTGTAGTTTTAACTTCAATGATTGGATTTTGGATCTAAGGGAATGCATAAAACAACTATGTTTGTGTTTACACTATAAATTGTGAAAATTTAAGATCATATCAGGTGTCAAAAATACTTAATGGATAGAGGAGATTTTATCATGTCAGATATGTAATTTTAGGTTCTGTGACAGATCAACTATCACATTAGATGAAAAGAGTTAAAAAAATAAGATTTTATCTTTTAATTACTTTTTTGAGTTAAATTAAATTGTTTTAGCTGAAACATAATCATTCTCAAAATAAATTTTGAAAAAGAAAATACTCCTTTTATTCATTTTTATCTCATCTATTACTTCCACCAACTGCCTGCCTCTAATAAAAGCCATTTGTTGCCGCCTGTCCAACAACAAATGTATTTGTTTAGTAATAAAAAGTTAGGGAAAGGCTGGGATTTCGTCTCTAGCTGGCATGGGATGAAGTGTACAAGCACAAAGCACGGATGAGGGACAGATATTTGAACTCATCCAGATCTCGTTGAGATCTTTTCACTTGACAACAGCAAAGGTAAATGACTATAGTTTTAACTTCAATGATTGGATTTTGGATCTAAGGGAATCCATAAAACAATTATGTTTGTGTTTACACTATAAATTGTAAAAATTTAAGATCATGTTACATGTCAAAAAATTTTAATGGATGGAGGAGATTTTATCATGTAAGATATGCAATTTTGGACTTCATGACAGATCAACTGTTACATTGGGTGAAAAGAGTTAAAAAAAAATAAGATTTTATCTTTTAATTACTTTTTTGAGTTAAATTGGGTCTATTTTAGCTGAAATATAAAAGGAAGTTTCAGTTATGGGTGTGGATTATCAAATAATGGGATAGGTGGTGAAATCTGGAAGGGAATTTAACCATGTCAATTGTTGAGGTGTTTCACTACATCAAGAAACTGCCCATGATTTTTGTAACTACAAAAAGTGGAAAGTTATAGTCGGAGAAAGGAGAACAAAAAGGAAATTTTGGATCATAGAACACACGGCTAGCCCTACTCAAAACCTGCAAATTTTCAAACTTTCTTTTTTTATTGCAATTGCTTAGAGATTTCGAATTTCAGCACAATTTTCAGTAGATCTAAATTGTTTTTCATTATTCCAATAGTCAAACTACTTTGACTACTTGTTTTAGCAATTTCATTTCATGTATTGAACATCAAGTGTTTGAATTTCTTCAAGGTATTGTTTCTTTTCTGATTGTAATTAGTTTAATGTTTTTGATAAGTAGTGTTTCATCAAATTATTACTTCTATGGCATTTAAGCTTTTTCTCAATTTCAAGCATGTTAGTTTAATCATTGCTCATATTTAATTTTAGTGTTGTCTAGGGTTAGATCTTAAAATTTGCAGTAGTTTAATTTTCAGATCTGTTTGTAGATAGCAATTTAATTTGATAATGAACATGTTCACACTACAAGTAAATGTATCTATAGTGACGGAAGTTTTCTGTCTGTATATACCCTTTTTCCATCAGTATAGACCCCCAAGGACTATTCCGATAGAAGAGCTTTTAGTCGGTAAAAACCTCATTAGTATAGGGTCTATACCAACGCCTAATCCATCTGTATAGACCCTTGTATCTATTCTGACGGAAGACTTGTCTGTTGGTATAAACCCTGAGAAATTAAAAAAAAAAAAATTGCTGTGGGTATAGACTTTTATCTTTACAAATGGATAATCTGTTGGTATAGACCCCGGAAAAAAAGAAAAAAAGAAAAAACCATCTGCATCTAATGCCACAGCAGCTTCATCTGACTAAAATTAAACTCAATCTACTCAATCTCTTTCTCTACCATCACAAATCTCTCAAGAAATTCTGATGTGCTAACAAATCTCACAAATCTGTTAAAAAATATAAATGATCAACAAATTCATAACAAAGATGCCATGCAATTAAATTTTAGTGATTGCAGTTAATCTAAAATTCAAATCTATAACTTTGTTCTTGTAAATATCTTCCCTTTCTTTGCATAAATACTAAAAGGCCATTCTATGCAAATGTGACTCCAAAGCAAATCATCAAGTCAATGACTTGTCTATATATCCATCCTAAATGTTAAAAATTGATGGACAAAATTGGAATTAAAAGAGGATAAAAATCTTATAAATCTACAATATAATATTTCAATATATATAATGGCCATAACATACTCCACAAAGTAGTTGGTAACACATAATAAAGAACAAATGCAAGAATTCTACTGTAAAATAAAAGAGCATTGCAGCAATAGTCAAAAGCTTTCAGCAATAAAAATACATGTACGCGAATGTTAAGTCCACATTCAAGCTCCCATAGCATTTGCAAGCAACAAAAATAAAAACTTTAGCGAAAGAAGAGTTTATTATGGTGTTTATAAACCCACTGTGTGACAATGAGATCATTGTAGCAACTGTGAGAGGGGTTGTGTTTCTCCTATGAACTATTCTGGTGCTTAAATCTCACAAAAGCAAAGAAACCCAAAAAGTGAAAATGAAATGAGATAAAACATAGAGGAAAAAAAATAAGGAAGAAATGGGGGACATTGAAAAACAAAATACCTCTTCCATCACCTGTATCGCCATCTCCACTTTGCCTCTCACCATCAGTCCTTTGCCTCTCACCATCAGTTTGATTCCCTTTAAAACCTGTACCAAAACCAAGTAACAACAAAGAAGCACAAACAACCATCAATTTAGCAACTTTAACCACTTAAGCAACATCAAGAAAAGAAACAAATTTGAATTCATCCAAAGAATCTGGTTGACACCCTACAACTTGCAAACATGCTTTTAACTATCCTAATTATGGAAAGAAAGAATAAGCCTCTGCAATTTCTTAATGGCATGTATAAATCACCTCTGGCTGCAGCTCAATGTAGTTGGCAAAACCAGCCATGAAAAATTTCCATAAAGAAACACTACCCAAAATCAATTTGAGATGAATTGCAAACATGTATAAAAAGAGTTGGCAAACTTGTTAGCAATCAAGCCAATCAATTCTGCCCTTCAGACCACTCCAGGGCTTATAAAGTTAATAGTTACTTAACTCAACTCTAAACCATGAATGAGATTAAGTCATGGGTAACATTGAGCACAAATACACATGGATGAGTAAACGCACGACCCAATCAATATGGATTCAACCAAGGTGCTTAAAATTAGTTCAGGCAACATAGAAAGTCACAAACCAAATGACAATGAATCCGTAATACTACAACATATGATCGAACTATAAAAAAAGAAAGCATTCAAAGTTAAAATAAAAAACAATACAAAATGACTCAATTACAGCCACATGAATTTCAAAACAAATCAGTTAAAAATCATATGGAGAGAACAATCAGCTACCAATGATCTAAATAAACAAAAATGAAAATCATGCTCCCATTTCAACAATGTAAATCATTCATGGCAAATCAAAATTAATGAATAACCAGAGTTAGTCTAGATCTGAGATAGCTCGATTCTATGTATACCTAAAGCTGTGGAATCCCTTGCTTCTATTAATTCCCTTTTTCTCAATTTCTTTTTCAATTTTGATAAAATCCATTTACTTCCTTCAGTTTCTTCTTCCAAAGAATTAGGTGGAAACTGCAAAACAAAAAAAAAAGAATTATAAAAATAATTTGTGGTAAGAAATTAAAAGAATTAAACAGATACACATAAACAAATAGAATACACAACACAAGATCAAATAAAACCCACGTCCTCAATAAGTCTAATTCACACCACTTGCTCCCCCCTTCTCCAGCATCAACAATCGCCATCTAAATCAAAAAGCAAGAGAAAACGTAAGGAATTGAGATAGAAAACTTCAAGACACCACCGAGAAGAGAGATATATTGGATAGAGGAATCCCAGAGGTCTCACCAGACATTGGCAACCATCACCGACCATCTAAACCTAGAAGCAAACAGCAGGTGGAAGAGAAAGGAAGTTTGAAGTTTGAAGTCTGAAAGGGAAGGGAAGGAAGAAACCCCCCCCCCCCCTTTTTTTTTTTTGGAAAGGCATGTTCTCGACTTCTTATGTGATGAAAGTTGAAAGATCAGAAGAAAAGAGTTAAAGCAAACACTCAACATCAACTAAAAATTAAATCACCAATCGAAAATTTCCATCAAGAACCATTCCCACTGCAGACAGCATAAACAAAAACGCAGGTAAAAGAAACAGAAAATGAGGAGAACCTTCTTCAAATCCTTGAGTTCCTTCAAAATCCGTTTAGAAGCCATGAAGCTTCACCAGATAGGGCCCTAGAACCTGCAAAATCACAAAGACCCATGTCTGGAAATAATGAAATCAGCCTAGAAACAAGAACTAACAAGATGGATTTCATCATCAAACAAAACAAACTTCAAAAAAAAAAAAGAAAAAAAAAAAAAAGAGAGCAACAAGCAAATGGGAGAAAGGAAGAGTGACGAAGAGAGGAGAAAGGAGAGTACTTGAGGAAACAATGAAATCAAGAGATGAGAGACAGAAATAACGATAGAAAAAAAGAGAAATGGGTTTCAAGCAGATCTAGAGCAACAACCTCTGTCCATTGTACCACTTGTTCTCCAACCCCAAATCCCTTGATTATGTAGAACCTTGACGAACGAACAACACAAAAGAAAATCGTAGAGCAGAGAGAAGAAACAAAGAGGATTAGGAAGAAATCACCTAAAATCAACATAAACTCACATATTGACCTCCTATCATTGATGGATTAGAGTTGAGGAAATGAATTTGGCATTTAGGTTCAAATGGGTTTTTGAGTTTTAGCAAAATCAACTCCAAATTTTGGAGATTTAGGAGAGGGATGAAAATATTTAGGTCTACGGGGGAGGGAAACTTGGAATTTGGGGAGGAAAAATTGGGAATATGTGGAGGGAAGTGAAAATGTATACAGACAAAATAGGTTAATTCGTCTGTATAGAGAGACCTATGGAAATGGATAAGGATTATCATTACAATTGACATACTTTGTACAGATGGATAATTAGTAATCTGTCTGTATAGACCCATCATATACTAACAGATATATTTTTCCATTGGTATAGACTCGATGTATACTAACTGCTTAAATTTTATGTTGGTATAGATGATTTATGTAAACGAATTCATGTCAATCAGTATAGGCTTTTGTTGGTATAGGGCATTCTGTTTGTAGTGTTAATTTAATTTGGGTACATCTTGTTCTCGCAAATTTGCTTTAAATTGCATGCTATTTAGTTTTATTAGGATTTGTTAACTTTGATTCACAATGGTGTTTAAGTCCTTGGAGTTGTCCAAGGCAGATTCCATAACCCATGCTGTAGGAAGGCATCCCTCCCTCTTGCAAATTGTCTGTAGGTGTAAATTTTAATTTTAAACCAACGTTCTTCCCACCATCCACAAGGAGGTTGATCATGAGGGAGGAGAGGGTCGTTGGGAAAATTCTTCTTTCTTACTTTCAACAAAGTGTAAGTGGCATGTCCGCATTTAAATTTTGCACATGGGAGGCCACTAGAGGGTTTTTTAGGAAACAATCCTTTTTTGGCACGCCCAGTGGAATCTCACCGTGTCTCACTTATAGTTTTCAGATCTATTGTTCCATTATCCAAGAAAAGGCATAGTTATGCCACCAAAAAGAAACATTGGGAAGGCTGCCCAGACTTTCCAAATTGGGCTGGGTGAAGGCAGTCCAGCACATTCAAAATGAGAGAATGAGCTAGTCATTCCACCACCATTATCACCAACACTTAAGGAGCACTCTTTTTGTCAATCCAACATTCAATAAGGATAGTGAATTTGGAAATGAAGCTACTCAATCTGGTGACTCCCTTATGAAAACTGTTTCAAAACAGATTAGCATGATAAGGCGAACACAGTTGGAATCTAAGGAAAGAGCTTAACAAAGAAGCCAAGAGATCACTAGACAATTGAATGAGTCCTTTTAGAATTTGGCCCAAATTTTAGCTCAGAGTATAGCCCAACATGTAGTTGACATGCGACGCTCTAATGAAGAAAGTGCAAGAGTTTGGCATGAGCAAAATGCAATTGGAGAGCTTTTCAAGTTGAAACAAAACGACTGCAAGAAGTATTCCGACATGCCAAAATTGAACCTCAACCATAAGTAGCAAATCTTCAAAGATACAACTAGAATATTCCAGCTCCAACACTCGAGGGGCAAGTTAATCTACCACAGCCACCTCCCCAAAATTAGCAAGCAATGGGCGAACCAATGCAGCTAGAACCTGTTGAGGCTGCACCACGTGTAGCAAAATTGGGCAATCCTTAGCAGCCCAAATATCTGCCATCTTAGCACTAACCGAATGGAGGACACCCATAGCATAATGCATCTCCACTAAGGGAGCATTTCCAGCCTTATTTACCACCTATGCAACAAAATCCTCAACACCTACCAAGTCAGTACATCAATCGTGATCAGGTTATTGATCTAGTGTAGGAGGCTTATGGTCTAGTTTTAAGTCCTCTAGTCAGACCAGCTTACAAAAAACCATATCCATATGTTATAGACCAAGAGAATCCTTTTCCAAGGGGATTCAACGTTCTAAAATTCTCATTATTTTCTGGAGATGATGGATATTCTACAATTGAGCATATATGCCACTTTACAATCCAGTGTGGTGAGGCCTCTAGTGATGATAATCTGAAACTCAAACTTTTTCCCAACTCTTTAACTGGTATAGTTCTCACTTGGTATCTGAGTCTACCACAAAATTCAATTTATTCTTGGAGGCAGATGGAAGATCTTTTCCATATCCAATTTTATCATAGTGAGCCAGAAGTGTCCATGGCAAATTTATCTTGTTTGGTGTAGTGACCTGGAGAAACATTTGAGGCCTTGCCAGATTTTGGAAGGCCAGACTTAAGTGTAGAGTTGCCTTGCTAGAAAAGGAGTTTGTTAAGCTAGCATAAAATGGTCTGGACATCAAGCTAAGGAAAAAATTTGAGGGAACGGAGTTTCGTGATTTCTTTGAGTTGTCTTACAAGGTGGCTCATTATGAAAATTTATTGTGAGAGAACACAAAAAGGAAATCTACATCCCATGGGACTTACTATAGTGACACTAACTTTGATCTGGATGTGGCAGAAGTGGTCAAAGACAAACCAGTTATTTGCCTATATCTGATTAAAGTGGCCTAACAAATTGACAAGACAATAAAGCGTTATGTCGGCAAGGCTAGAAAGCAATATACTTTTGATATTTCAAAGACTAGTGAAATTTTTTACCACCTTAAAAAGAGTGGTCTAATTAAGTTGCCACTAGGGCATAAAATCCCAATGGCTGGTGACATTGGAAGTAGAGAATATTGCAAATATCATCATTCTTGGAAACATTCTACTAATGATTGCGTTATTTTTTGGAATGTTTTGCAAGACAAAATCCACAAAGGAATTTTGCGTTTTCCAAATAAGGCAAAAGAAACTATGGGAGTTGATGCAAATCCTTTTCTTAGCATGTCTATTGGGGTGAACACAATAGATTTTAGGACTATTGCTAGAGATAGAAATTAGTCATACCCTAGGAGTAGACTTGCAGCGAATGATTTGAGGTGGGTCATTGAGGAGGCAAGGGCTCATAGAAATCAAATCAAATCAAACCCATCCCGAATGAGAAAGCACAAGAGGCACAACCTAACCTAGTAGAAAAATAATGCAGATCAATGAGCTGTGATATCTAGACATGCAAAAAAGCTCAAAATGGTGAAACCACCACCCAAATCTCCAAGGAAAAGGTGGGAACGTGTGGTTCATCTAAAATTTCCTTAGGTTCAAAATCCAAGGACCTTTAGGAGGCGCTTACAATGCAAAAGGGCAACAAAGAGATGCCAATAGCAGATTGTAAGCTCGGGGGGCATGGCAAATCAGACTCAGTCGTTCCCAGCAAGAAGGAAATTAGTGTGGGTTTGTAAAGAAAAAGAAAGCACATTTGGTCAGACTTCTCTAGAAAAGAATGAACCACCTAGAAGTCCAACATTACCTCGAGTTCTAACTAGCATCCAATGAAGAAACTAGTTTGAAGGTGAAGTTTGATGCAACAGATAAAGTGGAAAGTTCATCAGATGTAATTCAATTTGGTGAGTTTTCCATGAATCTATCTTGTTTGGTAATTACTTTTCCTTTCGCCTTCCAAGCCAAAAAATAGTCAAAATCTGTAGTTTATCAATAAACAGATCAAACTAAGGAAGAAGGAATCATTGAAATCCCAACTAAGGAAGATGGAGGTATGGATTCAATAGATAAAATAATTTTTGAAAAGCCAGAAGAGAGGATGGCTAAACATATTAGATCATTATACAATCATGCACATCTAGACGGTATGTCGATAAATCGAGTTCTGGTTGATAATGGAGTAGCTGTCAATGTTTTGCCAACCTACATGCTACATAAAATTGGCAAGTCTTTGGGTGATTTAATGGAGACAGAAGTGATGATCAGTGATCTTACTAGTAGGGTAAATTGCTCAACAAGAATTTTGCTAGTAGAACTCACCGTTGGAAATAAAACTCTCATGTGTGCATTCTTGTGGTTAACACTATTATCACTTATAATGCATTACTTGGGAGAGATTAGATACATTCCAGTTGGTGTCTTCCTTCAACTTTACACCAGAAATTGATATTTTGGAACGATGGCAGAACTAAGGTTGTGACAGGAAATGACAAGCCATTTGTGGCAAACACCAATGCAGTGGAAGCTCATTATTATGATGAAGATGTTGAGACTATTTGTTTCTTTGGGATGGATCACTTTGGCAGACCTTTTAGAATTATTATCTGCATCAGATGTTCACTTGACAGACAAACTATGAAGAAGGTTTATGATGAACTTTTTCCGCCTCCAACAATTGTTCATTTTAGGTTGAGGAAAGAGCCTAAGATTGAAGAAATTTCATGAAGAAGGATTGCATTAAGCTCCAAAAAAAGGAGGCCATGGAAGAAATCAAAAGGAAGTTCGTGGCCTACCTTGCAGGAAAACGGATTTGTGTAGACAGATTTGAGGTGGTTTATGAAGGTGCAGAGGAAGACTCAAAGGATTAGATAACTCTAGAGGAATTAGATCTGGCACTAGCAAAACTTGACGATTTGAAGACAGAAGTATAAGATCCCCTAGAAGAGGTAAATTTAGGTACTGAGGCAGATCCAAAAATTACATTTATTAGTGGGTTTCTTGAGCCATGTTTGCATGATAAAATTATTAATATTTTGCATGAATACAAGGAATGTTTTGGTTGGGATTATTCTGAAATGCCAGCTCTGGACAGAAATTTGGTGGAGCACAGATTATCAATCAGAGAAGGCTTTAAATCTTTCAAGCAGTCGCCCAGACGAATGTCTTCAGAAGTCACTTTGAAATTAAAAAAAAAAAAAAGATAGAACGGCTGCTAATGGTTGGTTTCATTAAAACTTCCAAATATGTGGATTGGATATCTAATGTGGTGCCCGTGGTTAACAAGAATGGCAAGCTAAGAATCTGTGGATTTCAGAAATCTAAATCTAGCAACACCAAAAGATGAATATCCTATGCCTATTGCAGGTTTGCTCGTAGATGGTGAAGCACACCATCAAATTCTGTCATTCATGAATGGTCACAGTGGGTACAACCAGATTTTCATAGCAGAAGAGGACATTCCAAAGACTACTTTTCATTGCTTGAGAGCTATTGGTACTTATGAATGGGTGGGAATGCTATTCGATTTAAAAAAAGTAGGTGCAACTTACCAAAGAGCCATGAACGTGATCTTTCATGACATGATTGGTTGTTTCATGGAGAATTATATTGATGATGTGGTTGTGAAGTCTAATGAAGATGAAGTACATATGATGCATTTAAAGTTGGCCTTTGAAAAATGAGGAAGCATGGTCTAAAGATGAATCCTTTAAAATCTGCATTTGGCATTTTTGTTGGAAATTTTCTAAGATATTTGGTGCATGAGCAAGGTCTAGAAGTGGATCAGAACAAGGCAAGAGTTGTTACTGAAGCACAGCTGCCAAGAAGTAAGAAAGAATTGCAAAGATTCCTTAGGCAATTAAATTTTCTTAGTCATTTTATTTCAAATCTAGCAAGAAAGACAAGAATATTTTCACCACTATTAAAGCTGAAATCTAAATCAAATTTCAAATGGGAGAAGCATCACAAGATCGTCTTTGAGGAGATAAAGCATTATTTATCAAAGCCGTCGATCTTAGTGCCTCCAACAAGAGACAAACCTTTGATTTTGTACATATTTGTTGCAGATAAATCTATAGGTTTTTTACTAGCTCAAGAAAATAATAAAAAGCAAGAGCAAGTTGTTTATTATCTAAGTCAAAGTCTGTCACAAACCAAAGTGAAATATTTTTTGGTCGAAAAATTATGTCTTGCTTTATTTTTTACTGCAATAAAATTGAGGCATTATTTGCTTTATTCTGAGGTTTATGTTATTTCAAAAATAGATGTGATAAAGCACATGTTGTCTTGACCATTGCTGAGAGGCAGAATTGGAAAATGAGTTATGGCTTTATCAGAATTCAACCTAATGTATATGCCTCAAAAAGCTATTAAGGGCCAAGCCTTGGTAGATTTTCTAGCAGATAATCCGTGCCTTGAAGTAGAAGTGGATGAAGAAAAAGGAGTTAATTTATTTTCCATAAATTTGGTTCCTTGGAACCTATCTTTGATGGATCCAGCACAGATTCCATGTCTGGAGCAAGAATTGTTATTATTTCTCCAGTTGGTCTGAAAACCTAGAAGTCATTCTAGTTAGATGTCAATTGCACCAACAACCAAGCTGAATATGAGGCGTTGATTATTGGGCTAGAAGTGCTGGTAAAACTCAAGGTACTTGTGGTAGAAATAATTGGTGATTCACAATTAATTTTAAAACAATTAGAAAGTGAATACAAATGCAATAGTCTGTCTTTGGCGCCTTACTTTGCTCTAGCAGTACAACTTCTGACAGAGTTCGATGATGTAATCTTGAGGCATGTTACACGAGATCTAAACACAAAAGCAAATGATGTTGACTCAATGTACTCCAAGAGGGGGGGTGAATTGGAGTTCCAAAAATTCTCCCCTTTTTGCAACCACAAAACCAAAATTAAAGAGAGTAGAGAAGAAGAGCTTGCTCAATGATTTATAGAGGTTCGGGTCCAACCACTTGGAGCCTAGTCCTCTACCTTGGCTTCACTCACCAAGGATTTCCTCCACACTCTCCACTAACAACAACAAGGGTGGCTTAAAGGAGCCACTCAATCCTGTTACAACAAGATGAGTATTTCTCTCAAACCTCACCCTTTACAATGTAAGCCCCACAAATCCTCTCAATAGATCACTCTTGAAGGAATCAACACACCCCCAAGATCACTCACTAATAGCACAAGAAGAGGATTACAAGCAATGATCACTCAAAGACCAAAAACTCAAGTTAAAGCTCTAGTGGGTAGGTAAAGATATTCAATGCAATGTTCTCCAACCTTCTTCAGATCTGTTACCAACCATATTTATAACCCCTTGCTCGAAAATAGCTGTTTCTAACCGTTG